GGCGGCAGCGGTTCTCGACGAACTTCTTTGGATCTCTTTTCCTCTTTCTCAAATGGAGGTGATGATGATGAGCTTCGAAGCTCTTCTGAACCTCCGGATCTTGACGGCCTCCGTTTTTCTTTTTGTCTCCTTTCCCTTTTATCAAATGCAACTCATGTTTATATAGGTAACAAATTAGGGTTAACTCTAACCTAATGCCTATTTTAAAGCCCAACTTAAATAATTAGTCAAAACTAAAAAAACAAACTAAAACAAACTTAAAAGAATAAAATCTTTTCTAATATTTTTAATTTTATGATTTTTTGATGTTTTTATGAGTAATATGGAAAAAAGTGAAAAAATAATATTTTTTAAAAAATAATTTAAATAAAATACGAAAATAATAATTAAATAATAAAAAAAACTATTTTGTTATTTTTTTTATAAAAAAAAAAAAGAAAAGAAAAACAAAAAGTGAAGAAGGTGGGATTCGAACTCTCAACCTCTCACACTCACAACTCCTTACACACGGTCTCTTGCCAATTGTGCCATTTTATTCATTCAAAATAAAGTGGCACTAGAAACTATGTAAAGGTAGGACAAATTTGGGGTGCAACAATGCTCTTATGAAACATGACAAGTTATTATATAAAAATCTTTGTAAAACTTCAAAGATGAAATATTTAGTTATACATCACTAAAAATGGATATCAATTTTGACCGTGCAAAATCTATAAAAAAAATTAAAATTGTTTAAATTTAAAATGTAAAGACTATTTCATGAACTATATAATATAGAGGAGTGAAATTGTAATTATTATAATAATAAATTAGTATAATAAAAATATTCTTTTCTTATGTTCGACATTTTATTTTTAGGAAAAATAATTTCATCATAGACACATAACACTCACGTAATTCAAATTGATAAAATACAAATAAATATTAGTTTTAATATTTGTCATGTAGATTAATTTTGAAGTTTATTTTGATTCCTTAATTTAAAAAATATATGTATTGATTCTTTAACTCTTTAAAATGGAGAATTTTAGTCATTTTTGTCTACTAAACTGCAAATTTAAGGATCAATTTGTAAGTTTTTATGTGATTAACTATACGAACATGATTAACATAATACATGTTGAAGAATTAAAAATCAATATGAATATTTATTATGTTAAAGAGACCAAAATGAACCATAAAATTAACATATAAAATAAAAAAAGATATTAAACCTATATATTATCAATAAAAGGAGAAAAATAAATAAATCAAGGAAATAGTATTAGAAATCCCTTATAAAAACTAATGGCTATTTATTATTTATTTATTTTGACCAAGATTATTATTTACATGAATGAAATCAATGATTTATTCAATTAAAAAATAAATATTATATTTAACTAATACACATATATAAATAAAAACTTTAAAATAAATATATGAAATATAAATAATCAAACCTCAAATAAATATTTTGGAAAACAATTGGCGGTATGGGGAGGGAAAACAAATTTTCAAAAAAAATCAAAAGTCTTAAAATAAGAAAAATAATAATTTTTAGATAAAATATAAATAAAAGGAAAACAATAAAAATATGTCACAAAAAAGAAAAAATAAGCAAAAGGAGTCAAAGAAATAATTAAAATAAAGTGATGATTTTTGCACAAATTTATAACTCAATTTATAATAGACGCACTCTTTCGCTTTTCATTTATAACTCGTTTCGAAGCAAACACCTCGTTTCAATTTTCATTTTAACACTATCATAACGTGTTTAAATGCGTTCTGCACCTCTTTTAATATTATCGAAAGCAAAATGAACGAAGATAACAAGAAAGGCAATTCTTTTGCTAAAAGGAAGAATATGGAAAATTTAGTAAAAGAGGAATCTTGTGAGAAAGAATTTACACATTATAAGAGGTTCATCCAGGTAAAATTTCTTATTAGTAGGGATCTTGTGCAAATTTTTACAAACATTATATAAATATAGGAAAAAGAAGTATGAAATTTTGTCACATATCATATAATAAATAGATAGACTATGTGACTTTGTGCTTTTGTCTCTAATATAATTTTTCTTTTTGTTCATTTTGGCACTAAATGAAGGGTGGAGAAAATAGGAGGACAAATCTAGATGTATTGTTTGATGCTATAGACCAAAGTGAAGGGCATCTAAGTGGTGTTAGTGATGCTATGGAGCAAAGTGGAGGGCAAGAAGGTGGTGTTGGTGATGCTATAGACCAAAGGGAAGGGCAAATAAATGATGTTGATAATGGTATAGATCAAAGTGGAGGACATGTTGATGGTGTTGATGATGCTATGGACCTAAATGAGGGGCATGTAGGTGGTGCTGATGATGCTATGGACCAAAGTGGAGGGGATGATGTTGTTGTAGACAAGAGTGAAGGGCACCTAGATGGTGTTGATGGTGCTATAGGCCAAAATGAAGGGCAAGTACATGGTGTTGGCGATACTATAGATAAAGATTTATGTGAACTCCAAGCTAAAGTTCACAAGGTAAAGTTTATTCTTTTCTTCTTTTTTTGTGTCTTGTTATTTTTTATTGTGTTTATTATTTTACATTTTATTCAATTTAAAATGTATACAAATTTAATTCATGTACACATTTTAAAAATTATGACTAAATAACTTAAATTTATTTTTCAGATGATATGTGTAAAATATTTGATGCGCAGATTTATAAGATTGAAAATACAATTTTTTACTTTTTTTTATATATTTATGTGTGACATTCTCTTCTCACCCTGATTCATATTTGTTTAATTAATGTGGGGTTGATTTTCTTAACTACAATTCATTTTTATGATTTTATAATTTTATATAAAAGTATAATTGAATGTATTTTTTTTTTGTCAATTATTGAAGTTGCCCCTAATTTCATCAGGAAAATCAGGATATACTTGTTTGAATTGATATTTTAATGTTATACTTAACAATTAAGTTTTTGTAATTTTTTTAAATTTATATATGGACTAACTGATTAAAAATAATATTTATTTTGACATATAAAGTGATAAAAATATATATTCAAAAGACTAACAATTTAAAACTATTTATTAAATTATAAGATAAATATATTTTTTTTGACATAAATTATTTTATTTAAGACTAGATAACTATTGCTAGTTTCATTGTACCAAAAAAAAAACAATTACTAGTTTCAATAAAAGTTAGAAAATACTTTTAATACACCATTAATTATTAATTTTGATTTTATAGTTCATTTAATATTTCTTCTATTCCAACTTATAAAACGCTGTGATAATATTTAAAATTATTTTGTAACCAAAAAAATAATATTTAAAATTGTTTACTTTAAATACTTGTTCTTATCTTGATGGATTTTTTTGTCTTCTTCTTATTTATTAAAAATGAGACTTGAATATATTAGTTTACTATGGGCTAAGGTAATGGTTTAAAAGAGGAAAACTTCAAATTTATTTTATTTAAATATTTTATTCTAAATATATATATATATATATATATATATATATATATATATATATATATATATATATATATATATATATATATATATATATATATATATATATATATATATATATATATATATATATATATATATATATATATATATATATATATATATATATATATATATATATATATATATATATATATATATATATATATATATATATATATATATATATATATATATATATATATATATATATATATATAAAGGCAATACTTGATTTTTTGGGTAGCTTTTCTTTATACCAAATTTACCCTTATTTTAAAATATATAACTTACACAATAACTTCCATTGAACTACTACTATCATCTTTCATATAACTCCATACTAATAACTTTCATGTAAAATTAATATTAAATAAAAATATATCATTTATATTTATATGTGTACAATAAAAAAGCGGACAGACGGGCACGCGAGTGCCTGTCTGGACGCTAGTAATAATAATAATAAAATTAACTATAAATTTTTTACATAAATAACAATCAATTAAATTTTTATATATTTTCCTATCAAATATATTTTAAAAAAGACAAAAAAACTAAATTTTCTTAATAAATATTAAATATTGACTTTTATAAATCTTTTGCCAAATACATATGTATTATTATTTATTTTTTTATCAATTAATTTAATGACTGAAATTTACCTTTTTATTGACTAAAGCTTAAAACCATTCATTTTTAAATATAAAAGAAAATATAAACTTAATTTATATATAGTCATAATATGAATTTTTTTCCACGTGTATTTATCCTTATCTATTATGTTGTCACTTTATTTATATTAGTTTATAAAATATCTTTATAAATATTTATTTATTATTTTTAAATTAATTTTTAAAAAATAAACTCACATATACATTTTTGTGTGCAAATAAACTCTTATAATTTGTATACTACTAAGTGGAACAAATAAAAAGTAGTTATTACAATTTTTGGGTAAAAGGAGGTTACTAACTTACTTATTACAATTTAAAATATGAACTATGAGTAGTTTTCTTAGGCAATATGATTTTTTTTTAATATTTAAAATATTTAAAAAAACTAGTATGTCTATTTTATAAAAATGCTCTCTTAGTTAATCAGAGATTAAATTCAAACTCAACTCTAATCACGTATTAAATCTTTTAATTAATATTTTTAAAATCTATCTTGATCCGACGAATTCAGGAACAAAAATTCTCTAAATATTTTGTAATAAAAAATATATAAATAGAGAGAAAAAAAACACTGCTAAAATCGAGACACAAACATTCTGAAAAACATAATCCTTAAAAACCGAAATAAGAAGAAAAAATTTGTAAACAAAAATAATAAAAGTTGAGAAAAGGACAGAGAAAGAAGTTGTTAAATTAAACACAACAATGGATTTTACAATAGATTCATTCATTTACAACTCAATTTCACATTCTCACTCCACGCACACTTTTTCCTGTTTCTGATTATGATACTCTGTTTTTTTTAATCTTAATTGTTGTTTTTTTTGGTACTTGTAATGAAGGATGAAGAAGGGTTGAAGACAACAACAACAACCTTGGAAGCTCCGAACGATGTTCCAGCCGTGGATTACGTTATTGCTGATGCTGTTGAAGAAATTGAAGGATATGTAAATGATTCTTCTACTGAAAAGGAAAATTCCGAGGTGGAAAAAGAGGTATCGGATTATGAAGATGAAAAAGAAGAAGATGAAGATGATGAATCAGAAAATGGGGCTGATGATCCTGAACTTGAAACAGGTCTATCTCTTGATGATGGCTTCTTTGAAGTTGAAGCTATTCGTCGCAAGAGATACAGCAAGGTCAATTATTGTTTTATCATTTGGTTTTTGGTGTGTTAGAGTATAATGATGTTTTTTTGTCTGATGATGTTTTTTTTTTTTTGCTTTTTTTGCGGCGAATTTACAGGGGAAGTTGGAGTACTTAGTGAAATGGTGAGTGTTACCTTTTTCTTTTTTGGTGGCAGTTTTTGAGGAAAAAAGTGATTTGTTTAATAAGTTTTTGTTCTATTTATGATTGAAGGATGGGATGGGAGGAGTCAGCAAATACTTGGGAGCCTCGAGATAATTTGGTTGCTCTTCCTGATATTGTTCAAGCTTTTGAGGAAGGGTATTCCCTTGTTCTTCTCTACTGTGTTCATGTTCATGTTTTGTTTTAGATTTTGTCTTAAATTATTACTTAGGATGAAAGAGATAGGCATGTTTGGATAAATGACTTAATTAAGAGCTTATGTACAAGCTATTTCTATAATCTAAGATAAAATGAAGTCAAATTATTTCGGATAAGATGTTAGATGTTTACATCAGATGTCTTTGAGAGAATCGTCAGGTGAAAGCTTGAGACCTAAGAGTGAGTTTCTCTTAAAGTTTCACATTCGAATCCTCTAGGTTGCAACAATTCGTGTGTTTTTTGTTAGTCCATATAGAGTTTCGCCCCGGCTTTAATTGGGTCTCCGCTAGTGGACGGTGACATTGGTCCTCTGAATCAGTCGATTCTAGGGTCGGATACTGAGTTTCCAAAGAAAAAAAAAACTATATTAGAGTTTATTGAAATAAGCTGAAAAGAATTTATTGATATTGTCATAAGTTGTTTTTATAAGCTTTTTCGATCAATGTCACGGGTGCTTATGCTAGTAGATAAGCTTAGATAAACTAATCCATATTTCAATTATATGTTTTATATTTGTGTTGTGTTTGCTATGATTATGATTGAATTGTGTATAAGCATAGGCCAAAGACTTTGAATGTGATTTGTTTTCATAAGCTCTTCCAAACAGTCTCACAAGTGCTTATGCTAATAGATAAACTCAAATAAACAAATCCAAACTGAGCAATGTCTCTGTAAATTGTTTGCTTACGAATGTTTGTTTCTTTGTTGTTTTGAAACAGCTTGAAATCGACACCGCATCAGAAGCGCAAGCGCAAGCAATCTAGTAATAGCGCTAAACTCAACAAAAGGGTGGAGCGTTCCGCCACTCCTTACAGCCTTAGAAGCATAAAAACTAGCACCACCCACTCAAAGGCGTCTAGCAGTAATTCAAAGCCGGCGGCCACTCCTTACAGCCTTAGAAGCATAAAAACTAGCACCAACAATTCAAAGGCGTCTAACAGTAACTCAAAGCCCGACACCTCTCTCAATGAACAACCCGGTATTCCCGACTTTCCTGCATTTCCTCAGACCGTGCTGTTTGCTGACGAAGTAGAAACTTACGGTGATGGAAGCAGTCTTGAAAAAGTCAATCATGCTAATGATGATATGTCTGTGGATCCTCCAGAAGAGGTTCCTCGAAACAATGAGGAAAACGAGTCTGATCCTATGCTTACTCCAAACATCGAAGAAAACAGGTCTGATGATCCTAAGCTTACTTCAAACGTCGAAGAAAACAGGTCTGATGATCCTAAGCTTACTTCAAACGTCGAAGAAAACAAGTCTGATGATCCTAAGCTTACTTCTAACATTGACAAAAACAAGTCTGATGATCCTAAGCTTACTCCAAACATCGAAGAAAACAAGTCTGATGCTCCTAAGCTTACTCCAAACATTGAAGAAAACAGGTCTGGTCGCAAGCTTACTCGCGACAATAAGAAAAGCAAGTCTGGTCCTAAGCTTACTCGAAACAATAAGGAAAGCAAGTCTGCTCCTAAGCTTACTCAAAACAATAAGGAAAGCAAGTCTGCTCCTAAGCTTACTCGAAACAGTAAGGAATACAAGTCTGATAAGCTTATTCCAAACATTGAAGAAAACAAGTCTGCTTCTAAGCTTACTCGAAACAATAAGGTAAACAAGTCGGATCCTAAGCTTACTCCAAACCTTGAAGAAAACAAGTCTGGTCCTAAGCTTACTCCAAACCCTGAAGAAAAAGAGTCTGATCCTAAGCTTACTCCAAACATGGAAGAAGACAAGTCCGATCCTATGCTTACTCAAAACAGTAAGGAAAACAAGTCGGATCCTAAGCTTACTCCAAACATTGAAGAAAAAGAATATGATCCTAAGCTTACTCAAAACATTGAAGAAAACAAGTCTGATCCTAAGCTTACTCCAAATATTGAAGAAAACAAGAATGATCCTAAGCTAACTCCAAACAAAGAGGAAAACAAGTCTGATCCTAAGCTTAGCGAACTTAAAGCTACAGCAACCAATGGAAACGGCGCTGACAACCTCGCAATACAGTTTGAAGAAGTCGTGACTCCTCCAGTAAAACCTCACATGAATGAACAACCAAATGTGGTTTTCACAGAAGCGATTACCAAAAAAAATGCAGGTAGCGCAGAACCAGTCCAAACTGGCTCCGGACGGTCAGGAACCAGACGGAGAAAAACTACTGCTGTGAAGAGGTTCACCCGAACTACATTAGCTAGTAAGACCGGTAATACAGGAATTACTGACATTGCAGCTCCTAGTAGTCATACAGCGGCAGAACCTGTGAAACCGGAGTCTGATATTGTTGAGATTGTGAAGCCGGTAGGCTATTCAGCTGCAGAAGCCAGCACCAAGCAGGAAGCTTCGGTGACCTTCAAGGTTAAAAGGTCAGTTACTCGACTTTAACTGTATATTTAGTCGTTATACCTTTGACCAAATTTTTTACAGCTTCATTTGTTTTCATAAAATGTTTGCAGAGAAATATAGCGTTTTACACATCTCAAAAGGTAATATTTTCTCTTAGATTTGAGTATTTTGTACAGTTCTGGATGCATACTTTTTATCATCAACAAATGCGAATGTTTGATTCATGAAATCAATTTAAATGCTTTTTACTTGATATCATTATATTTTAAATCAAAGTTTATCATACTGTAGTACAAATTTATATGAAACCAATCATGAAAGTTTGCAACGTTATTTACTTGTAATGCAAGTAATTTCATTGAATCGATCACACCTCTTTCACGAAATGAGCTTTATTATTTGATCATCTAACAAGATGCTTCTTGACACAAAGCTTATCTGGTTTAACTTGATAGGTCGGATGGATCAGAAGTTATCGTTGATAATAACTATCTCAAAACAAACCATCCGATTCTTGTAATCCCCCATCTCAAACTTTGCATGGCTTCATAGGCTCGTTATTATCATCATCGTCATAACAAAATGTTTCTATGCTCTATTATTATTTTTACACGAAGCTCATGTTTTGTTTTTATGTTTCAGCTGATCGATTACTATGAGCAGCATCTGCAGTACAGTGCGAAACCATCGTGATCGAAGAGATTATAGAAGGAAGCTTCATATTTTGATATGTTGTTGATTATGTTGTAGATGCTGGACTATTGATGACTATTTAAACTGGGGAATAATTTGTGGCTATTTACTGTTATGTTTGCTGATGTGTGCCTCCACATTTGAAGTTGGAGGTGGTTTCTATTGTGTTGGTCAAGAACAAAACCTTGTTTTGGTTTAATAGCAACTTTAGTATTTTGGGATGAAGAGAGTATTTTAATGCATTTATATATATTTAAGTTCATTGGTTGATTGGAATTATTCACTCTTATTAGTTGACTAGTTCATCTAACTTATTTTCTCACCTACTTTCCACAATTTTTCAGGTGATGTTCCAAAGTTAGTTAGCACTTTTCAACAAATTTTTTCTTAGCCAACTTTTTCTGTTGAGTGGTTAACAAAAGGAAAATCCACACTAATCTGCTAAAATTGTTATGGCATGTTTGGATACATAGTATATTTGACAAAATCATATTGACACTTTTATAAAAATGTCATAAATTCTAACATAAACTTAAGAGAAATCTGTATTGACAAAATCATATTATTTGATTGTATTGACAAAATCATATTGACTCTAATTTTATAGCAAAATAGGTAGTTATGCAGGGAAATCTAATTTGATTGTAGGAGCTTGAGTTTGAATTTACAATTTTTTATCTTTAAGTGATGTTTTCTATTCATTTAAACTTGTGATATCTTACTTATTCACTTTTAGTATGTGAAATCCAAGATATTTGAATATGTGACATTTTACTTATTTGTCCTTAAGGGATGTTTTCTATTTATTCAATCTTGTGATATCTCATTTATTCACTTTTAATATGTGAAATTTAGGATATTCGAATATGTGACATTTTACTTATTTGTCCTTGAGATGTTTTCTATTTATTTAAATTTGTGATATCTCACTTATTTACTTTTAATATATGTAAAATTCAGGATATTCGAATATGTGACGTTTTATTTATTTACATTTTAAGGAGTAAAATTCCAGTCATTCGAATCTGTAACATTTATTATATTTATCTTTAAAGGGGTGTAATTTCGATCATTTAAAATTGTAATATTTCACTTATTCATTTTTAAAGAGTAAAATGTTAATCATTTTCTCACTTTTTCATCTTTATGGAGATAAAATTATAGTTATTAGACAAAAAATAAAGCTATAGTAATAAAATATTTTAAATATGGCTCAATTTTTAATTTAAAAAAAAGGCATTAATTGAAGTTGGGATAGCTCAACCAAATTAGAAATGCCACCAAATAAATAGTTTAATATAAACCATTATAGTATTTCCACAACAATCAAACACATCATAATTCAAGTCTCTTATAAATTCCATTTCATTTTTCAACATGATATTCATATTCATAGCAACATGGAAGGGCCATCACCATTGATGCCATCTCTATTCTTGTTAGTGTTGGGATTCATAATCTATGGATCTAGTTTACTATCACTCTTTGACATGTCAATATCTTTCTATCAAATGGCTTCTGAAGCTGAAGAGAAAAGTTTCACAACTTTAATACTTGTGCTTCTTGTTCTTTTAGTTTTTGTGTTTCTTTACTTTCCTTATTCATTTCCTTTCTCTAGTAACTCATCTTATGGTACAAAACGTTATGTCAATAACTCTAGTCATGGTTATGATGAATCTGGATTTGGCTTGGGAACATTGCTCTTAGTTTTGCTCTTCATTCTTTTGTATTATTTGTTGTAAATTGAGATACCATACTTAAGCTTCAAACATTAGATGTTCTCTTTTATTTTTATTTTTATAAGTAGATGAAATGGTCATAACTATTAAACATTTATATATATTATTGTGAGAATCAGAGTTTAACTTCTAAAATTAATATACGACTTCACAATATCGATTTCTGACCGTTGAATTAAAATTTATGGTGGTGAACCTTACATATTATATTTATATTGTAAATAAAATGTACAAAATTTAGTGTGCAAGTGAGTTTAGATAGTGAATTGAAGTGGTATTTATTTCGGGAGTGAGAAAATAATTTGGTTACTTATGCTTAATTTATACAAATGTGTATGAAATGCGTTGAGATTTCAGTTTGAATGGTTAACTTAAATTCTGAAGCATCTACTAAACTGGAGTTAAATCTCTTAACTTAATGTTAACTAGTTAATATTGATTTGAGTAAAACTATTTAATATCAACTTAATTAATGACGATTAACATAAATAACTTCTTGTGTTTTTTTTAATGAAAAATTGTTAGTGATTACTACCTCCGGTACTATTTACAAGAGATAATTTATTTTTTAAATTTATTAATTATAATAATCAATGTACTTGAATTATATCAATGATAAGACACATTAATTATTCAATAAATTTAAAAGTTAATTTTTTCTTATAAAAAAACTAAAAGGGATAATTGTTATATATATATATATATATATATATATATATATATATATATATATATATATATATATATATATATATATATATATATATATATATATATATATATATATATATATATATATCATAAATTTGAATTTCAATCTTCTAATATATTCTTGGGACATTATTGTTCGCACATTTCTTATGTATATTTTCTCCGGTCACAATTATAAGCAAAATTAACTAATTTTACATTGATTAAGAAAATTATTTAAATATAATGTAATTAATTTTCTTGATTTCATGTACAATTGAAGTAAAATTTACTATAATATCCTTAGTTATATTTGATGAATCAACTAACAATATTAAATGCTTTCGAACTAAATTAAGAGTATAATAGTAATAAAGTATTACTTAATTTAAAAGTTAATAATTTTTGTTTATAATAATGACCAAGATTTAAGGTCACTTTTTTCCTTATAATAGTGACAGGAGGGGATGTCATAACAAATGGTCAAATCCAAATTTCACTCTCCGAATACACCTTTGGGACAACATGTTTGACATACTTCCTCATATATTTGATAATAATGGGTAAATTCGCATTTCAATATTCATATGCACCTATGAGACACTATATTTTTTACACTTCCTGACTTCCTGATACATTTGTTAGCTAAGGGGTGACTATAGATTTCAATTGTCGGTACACTCCTGGGACATTATCTTTGGCCTATTTACTGACACATTTGATAATAAAGGGATGAATTTGGATTTTAATATCTGAATGCACCTCTAGGACTATATTGTTGGTATAACTTATGGTAGCAACTTTGGATAACATAAATCATAAGACATTTATTAATCAAATGCCATTTCTAACAAAAAGTGAATTTTTATAAGTCATTCAAGCATCGGGCATTTGCATAAGTATTCACACATTAATCATTTGCATAAATCTTACACAATTCATAACTTATTCATTCAAAATATTTACATTAAAATACAAATTTAAATAAAATTTATAGGTATGTCTAATGCCCTTTTTTCTCACATGCCTTCTATATTGCAGTGAAAATCATGTCTATGATGATATTGCATCCAATGTGACCTTCTTAGGGGTGCCTTCCTGAAACTCTCTTCTAAATATACCATCTTTTCTAAGCGCAATAATACAATGATATATAGATAATACATTCACAACATGGTCCTCCATAGTCTGCTCCTCTTATAGTACTCTTAATGAGTTGACTAAGGGGGATCTCCTTCTGACACTAATTTCATATAAGGATATGAGACTCTATAAAACTATTTGATGTATATGTATATTGTAATCCATGCATGAGAAGCTGACACACTACTTACATCCTCTAACACCAGTTGCTCATTATAGTAAAAAAATATCCCATCCACATCTATGCAGAGGATAGTGGTAGGAACATTAATTTTTGGGTTCCAAGGAATACCCTTCAAATACCTAAATTGCTGAAATAGTTGCTCAAGTAG